AACGCTCGTTCCTTCCTGTGAAACCTGCCCTTTGGGTCATTTGAAGAACGGTAAAACCATACATTATGAATTTAAGGTTAGAGGGAGTAGTAATACTATCATTTGTATTGGACTGTTGCACCAGAATTGTTCCTTATGAATAATCGGTTTTAAATACATACGTATGCTATGTGAAATGGATACTAATTTTTATCTAGTTTATATTATGAACTAATACCAAACGAAGAAAGGAAGAGTGCAACATGATTAGAAGTCTCATTGTAGTTTGAAACATTTATTCACGATTCATTAAACGGTATTCGAACCCGGACTTTCAGATCTCTTGGTGTATATTTTAAGTTTAAGCTAATGAAGTTTAGATCCAGTGATTTATACTGTTCATTTCAGTCTATTAGTAAATTGGTACGATTCTTATACAGTACCATGGTACTATTGTGGTGTATGCTACTGATGTCAACAGATATGAGAAGCATGTATCATCAATCGAAAGTGGAATACTTAGCAGCAGAAGGTTAAGAAGATCAAAGAAAAGAGAATCAAGACTGAATAATTGCTGCGGAAATGAAGGAACTGTGAAGTCTGAGACGATTGACTGATATTTGCAAAAGGAACAGTGAAGTTTGAGACAATTGATTGACATTTTGCAATTTAAGTATGTACTGTATGGTTCTCAGATTTTATAAAGATGTTCTGTAATTTTAAGTTCAAATATATCTGGTTCTCCCCATTTGTGTTCTCATCCACTAGATTTGGTGTCGCTGCCAACTAGGAGGGTGGTAGAATGTTGTTCTGCGGACGCCGTTGTGGGCCTGAAGCTAAAGTGCTAGTTGGAGCAGACTGATGCGGAAAGGTGTTTATTTCATACATGTTCTACTTAGAAAGTAACTAATCCTTTCAAACTACACAAACGTCTCAATAGAACGAATCAATTTACTGGTTATTTCGACTTTCTTTTATAATGAACTTATTTTCACAAAATACCACATCATCCTTCTAAATAGACAATCAGTGAATTATATCTAAGCTTAAATACGTTAAATGTAGTCGTTTTTGCTGAAAATGCATTTATACCATTGAAAAACGTATTTCATGTTATACCCTTTTCAATCTATTAATTTAATTTTTGTTGAACCCACAACGTATTTAACCTTTTCATTTAAATAATTAGAACAGTTCCTTCCATCCTACTTTATGGCTGTGAAACATGGCCGGTAAGTGTAGAGGATATTCGTAGGCTACTAGTATTCGATCATAGGTGTCTTCGAAGCATTGCTCATATATTCTGGGACCAACGAGTAAGCAATGCAGTACTATGTAAGGATGTCAAATCAATTGATGAAGTAATGAAACTTCATCAGTGGATATGGTTGGGACACGTATTGCGTATGCCCAACTAACGACTGCCCCGACGAGCGATGTTTTATGGTGTAGGAGTAGATTGGAATAAAACTAGGGGTGGCAAGACTAAAGCGTGGCACAAATCCGTGAATTCACTGACAATTGAACTGAGCCATGTTGGTAGGTGTAGACTACCTGGTTGGGCTTCGCGAGATGATAGCAATCGATGGTTAAAGACCTTGAATGACATGGCTCAAAATCGTTTGCAATAGCGAAGGTGCATGCACTCTTTATGTTCTGCCAAATTCTAATCTTCTGAATTCTTCAAGTCCCTTTCTTTTTTCTCTTTCCAAATTTGTTTCACTGGATTATACTCTTTGAATAACATTTTCAAACTCTTATTTTTCCAATTACTGCTTATACTCTAAAGTAAAGGGATACATATCAGCCCATTCACAAAATGGGAATGATTCCTAAGCAGCAACTGTTAATTAATCGAACTGTCTTCATTTAAACACATGAACACTGGTACAAGTAAGCATCAGAAAGATATGCGCCACATAAATCACTTGATTTAATATGAGGTCTGGATACTGCCCGTGGGCTCAGACCGAAACAGGTGGTTTTCTTAGGGGAGCACTCCCCGAGCCTTTGACCTGAAGGTCTAATCCACAAGGCAGTAGAACAACGTCAGAGGATGCAGTCCCGTGGTTTCCGGTTACCAACAATAGGTTCATACGCTATTTGTTTCTTTAGGATCCTGTAGCCCATGTGCACCATTGGTTTGGAATGAGTGTTTTCCAACTCCTCTGGGTGGAACCTCCGTGTCCACTTACTCGATTAAAGCGCCGGACATTCGCTTTTCATCCTCTCAATTTCGTAAACAACACCCCCGCCATAAGAAAGCAGTGAGTAGGACTTCCCTTGAAATGGTTGTATACTCGTGATCATGTGAGAGCATTTCGAGAGGGAGAATCAACTCTCCCCACTCCCTGCCGTATAAGGGCATTTGGAGGCAGTAACGTATGGTTGACCGAAGTATTGACAATCCGAACATTTCCGAAGTAATGATCAATGAATTTGAGTGATTTACAACAATATATTACAAAGTTGAGAGGGTTCCTAATAAACAATAAAACCTAATTAATATTACCGAGCCAACCAGATATTACTCAGAGACGAATATGAAGAAAGACATTTTCATTGTTTGTGTACAACAAACTGAGCACAGTGGTTATGTTAACCAACCGCTAAACAGATTAGCTAGTGCTCTAATATCGTGTACACGACTAAAAAACAGATGCTTGTGCAATGTTGAGTGCTATCTGATGATAAGTATGTGATCACTTAAACGATGGAAGAAAAAACCATGAGATCATACCGTGAAGTTATTGACTGCTGTGTTGGTCCAAGCCTGTCGGTACGAACTGCCTGGTTGCAATCGATGCGATACTTACAACTAGTAATTAAAGAAACTGAGTGATACAATGTTAAATTGTTCGTAGCTGCATTCTTTCGTTAGTTTTTTCTACACCTTAAACAAGATGTCATCTCTTATTCTATACCAATTAAGCTCATTTCTTCATAACTGTACATCTTGTTAATTGTGGTAAATACACAGAATATTAGTACACCATATTCAATCAGTCATCATTAACACAGGACCTATCAGCAATGAACAATTTATGCGCATTGATATAAGACCTTTGTCACATAGCACACATTAAGAATTTCAAGATAAGTGTTTGAATGGAAAACATGTTATCATGACGTAACTCCTATTTATTTATTTAAACACATAAATATTAGTACAAGGAAGCACCAGATACATATGCACCACACAAATCTCATTCGATTTGTGTGAGGACTGGGATACTGCCCAGGTTCCCAAACTGAAGCAGGTGGTTTTCTTAGGAGGCCACACACGGAGCCTTTGACCTGAATGTCTGATCCATGAAGCAGTGGAGCATCGTGAGGAGATGCAGTCCCATGGTAGCCGGTGACCAACAATTGGTTCATACGCCATTTTCTCCCTCAATTGGTTGCCCCCAAATGCCCTGGTACGGCCGAGAGTGGGGAGAGTCACCTCTCCCTCTCGAAATACTCTCATATGGCCAGCGAATATATAGCCTCTGCCAGTGAAGTTCTACTCACTGCCTTCTCGTGGCGGGGGTGTTGTTTACGAAATTGAGAGGACGAAAAGCGAATGTCCGGCGCTTTAACCGGGTTGGTGGACATGGAGGGTCCACCTAGGGGAGTTGGAAAACCCTGATTACAAACCAATGATGCACATGGGCTCCAGTATTTTGAAGGAACAAATGGTGTATGAATTAATCGTTGGTGAACGGCTACCATGGGACTGCATCTCATCACGATGCTCCACTGCCTTGTGGATCAGACATTCAGGTCAAAGGCTCCGGGTGTGGCCCCCTAAGAAAACCACCTGCTTCAGTCTGGGCACCTGAGCAGTACCACAGCCCTCACACAAATCGAATGAGATTTGTGAGGCGCATATGTATCTGGTGCTTCCTTGTACCAATATTTATGTGTTTAAATAAATAAATCACAATTGGTTCCGAATGAGGGTTTTCCAACTTCCCTAGGTGGATCCTCCGTGTCCACCAATCCGGTTAAAGCTCCTGCCGGACATTCGCTTTTCGTCCTCTCAATTTCGTAAACAACACCCCCGCCACGAGAAGGCAGTGAGTAGAACTTCACTGGCAGAGGCTATATATTCGCTGGCCATGTGAGAGCATTTCGAGAGGGAGAGCGGACTCTACCCACTCTCGATCATACTAGGGTATTTGGGAGCCACATAGCTCCTACATAAAGAAAATTGAAGCACTCAAAACTGATGTATAGATTAACTGTTTAACCAAAATAAAATTCTATCCCACCCTCATCCATACATATATATTTATATTGATGGAACATAGACATGAACAGAGTTACTAAGCTCCTAATGCACAGAATACCTGGTATACACTCTAAACATATTTATATTCTCCAACCGTGCACAAACAAACAAACAAAAAACACACGTAAAAGTCGAATCATAAGATAGAAAAAAGGGAATGGATAAAAAAAAGCACCGTAATTTGAAGAATCAACACACATATCCCCACTTCCCTTATTTACGTACAATCTATATATCGAAAGATATGTGCATATGAAATACAAATAAATATATATGTATATATTTTTATATAAGTAAATATTATAGAAAATTAATAATGGGAAATAATTGAAAAAAATAGTAGTAAATTGTAGTAAACCACCGCAAAAGGTACACACCACTTGGGGGGGAGAGGGCGGGATGAAAAAACATATACCCTATTATTATGAAGTGGAAAAAACAAAAGTTATGTCAAGTCAACCAGTCATTGTACATACATACACACTCTCTCACACACACACACGCACACACATATACATATAGAAAAGAAAAATAGATATGCGCAACAAAAATCTCTCCTTCTTCATGATCATAGTCAATAATAGAATCATAAAAAAAGGGGGGAATAAAGGGATTATTCAAAAGGTAATAAAAGAACAGAAAATCACAACAACAACAAATTTTTTTTACAGAATGGTGATTAACACCTGTATAGTTTTGTTCCAAGTAAAGAATGATAAGAATAATATGGAAAGTTTGTCACATTCTAGGATCGTTTAGATAATTCATTTGATAACCAATCTAATCCTTCAAATAGTCCTTCACCTTGTGTAGCACAAGCAAGTTGGATATGCCACTATATTAGGATGATAATAAATAAAAAACACAATGTGAACATCAACGATATACATAACATAAACTATGTGGGTATGTGGTTTATGAGTGAGAATTGAATTATGGCTTATCTGTATAATTTACTTTACTTACTTACGCCTGTTACCCCTCGTCGAGGAGCATAGGTCGCTCACCAGCATTCTCCATCCAACTCTGTCCTGAGCCTTCCTTTCCAGTTCTCTCCAGTTGTTATTCATCCTTTTCATATCTGCTTCTATTTCCCGGCAAAATGTGTTCTTTAGCCTTCCTCTTTTTCGCTTCCCTTCAGGATTCCAAGTTAGGGATTGCCTTGTAATGCACATTGGTGATTTCCTTAATGTGTCTGGTCCACTTCCAACATTTTTTCCTAATTTCCTCTTCAGCTGGAAGCTGGTTTGTTCTCTCCCATAAAACGCTGTTGCTGATAGTATGCGGCCAATGGATGTTGAGTATTTTGCGTAGACAACTGTTTATAAATACTTGTACCTTCTTGACGATGGATGGAATAGTTCTCCACGTTGCAGCTCGATACAGTGGGACTGTCTTGCACATTTTTAATTTACTACTAATGAAAAATTAATTTGATCAAGATCCGAATAACTTTCACTGTGGTAGCAAGACAATCGAGATCAAAGATTACTCCTTTAATTTTGTTGAGCGAAATCCATAAAATACTGAAGTAGTTGAGCACATCGACCAGCTTACTTGGGAGTATCATCAGCACTGGTAAGTGGATCGACACCAGTTAAGAAAGCTCAGTTGATTTGTGCCGACATACGTTACTTACAGTTCAGGCGAGATGTTCACCTGCCAACCAAAAACGACGAATATACCGAGAGTCAATTCGCTCTACTCTACTTTACAGCCACGAAACACGACTTTTGAACATAGAGAATATTCGTAGGTTACTAGTATTTGAAAATAAATACTTTTTCAAGAATTACTCATGCACGATAGGATCATCGAGTGATCAATGCTGAGATTACTATATATATACTATGTGAAGGTGGTAAATCTGTAGATGAAGTGCTAGTGAGTCTTTATCAACTGAAGTAGTCGGGATATGTATTACGCATGTCCAACCACTGTCTACAGCAACATGCGGTGTTGGCTGATGGTGTAGCAGTATGTCGAGAAAAAAAGCTAGGGACGTCTGAGCCAAAAAGTGGTACTAGTCCATGAAGTTACTGACTGTTGGAGGAAACCAAGTTGAGGTTTGTGCGATTATCGTGTCCAATATTCAAAGACTCAGGGCAACATACCTGAGAATCATTCAAAACGGTGACATATTCATTCGTTGTCTCTAGATGACCTTGTGAAATTTATTGATTCCACGGATCCATATTTTTTTCTTGGATCATATATTCTATGTCTAATTTTTCCCATTACCATTAGCAATGTCACTACATCTACTACTCTGGGATTAAACTTGGCGATTTCATTTCGCTGCAGCAACAGATGCTCGATATTACAGCTTGTCTGGTCGTTTGCTAATAAAGGACATAAGAGATTTAGACTGCTTCTAGGGTCGCTCAAGACCTTTGGTAAGGTGAAAACTTACCTGACATTTACATCTACTTTAAAATAACCAACCAAGCGATAATATTAGCCTTTACAAACTAAGTGTATGAAATCTGCGTATAGAAACCTCACCAATTCATGTACTCGAATTTAAAGCAGACTTTGTGTTGGAGTTAGCTATATAAATGGGTTGACCGAATATAAGTAGGCGGATAGTTCTGAAGCTACTACTCAGTAGTTGAACGTTAAGTTCTTCAAACATAAGACAAATTCTCCACTGCAATAATAGATCCTGAAATGAGTGGAAGGTATTTACTACTTTAAATCAGTACCCACACTAACCGTACAAACTGAAGAAACTAATCACTTTTTAAGAATAAAGTTGGATTTTTTGTAACTGGTTGTTCCTAATATAAAACAGTGTAACTCATATGCCAAACAGTGTCTTAACCACTAGGTTATTACTTCACGTTTGTGACATGAAGCTGAATAAAAACGAAAAGACTAAATTCATCTGACATGATAGACAAGACAAGTGAAACAGAGTAGGATGAACTTTTGCCAATAGAAGCAAGTGAAGCATGCAGATGGCCACCAAAAATTAGTTCCCTAGAGATTAAACGAAATGTACTAATGATCTATACACATTGCAATTCATTTAAAAAACTACGTTTGTAGAGGTGAAGTAATATGCTCTTTGAAAAACTTTTACCTAATAAATTTTTCTAGAAAATTGTTATTTAACGGGATTATACAATTCACCATCTGGTATTAAAACGTCTACTGCTGAGATCGTTGATACACATTTAACTGTTACTCATTTCCAAAATAAAAATGATATGTGATCTTAACTTCTAACCTCATATTCAACAAAAAACTTTAGAATCACATTGGACGGTTTTATCTTAGTCCTTTATTCTGTATACTATGATTCATAACTGGTAATACTGAAAAAATCAGTTGCGTTACATGGTGAAGTAAATAAAACTACGTGTTAGTAAAGGAAGGACGTAAATTGGAGAAAAAAGTTTAACTTATCTACTTACAGGTCTATTTCGAATTTCGCGTAAACGCAACTTCTCAGCAACTTCCGCAGTTGACATAGCATTCGGTAAATCTTGTTTATTTGCAAAAACTAAAATAACAACATCTCGTAGTTCATCCTCTAAAAGCATTTTATTCAACTCTTCGGCAGATTCACTGATACGATCACGATCATTGCTATCAACCACAAATATGAGGCCCTGGAACGTATCGTGATAAACACATCAAATTTACTTGTGTATTCTGAAAATAATGTCTCCACAGGCGTCGAATCTTATCTTGACCACCTACATCCCACACTGTGAAATTAATATTTTTGTACTCTACAGTCTCTACATTGAATCCAATTGTTGGAATTGTTGTGACTACTTCGCCTAATTTAAGCTTGTAAAGTATTGTCGTTTTTCCTGCAGCATCAAGTCCGACTGCAAAAATTGAAACAGATTATTTGTGATAGAGATACATGGGCAAAGCAACTGAAGTTAAAAATAGAAAGCAAAGTGGAAGACATTACAAGCTTTTTGTTGAAGTGTACCAAACCAGTTGGGTTTCCAAAAAGACTTTTGGAGAAAATCTGATTCTACTTGGTGATTGAGAGTATGTACATACAACTTCCACACACACAGAGGTGTTATCCCATTGGTCATAAGACCTATTTTACCTTCGCTTGAACTACGTGGCACTGAAAGGCATTACATCAATGTGGTTAAAGGTCAAATATGTAGGCTTGTGGATGGTTTACAAGGTTTACATTACTTATAATCATTTTTGTGATGAGTATCAAGACAAAAGTGATTATCGGTTTATATTTAAAACAACGTAATTTTTTCTGCTTAATAACTATAATGCTAGCTTTAGGGTTCTTAAATATTGGAATTGGTAGACTTTAGCAATCAAAATGCTTCCAATCCATTGAACAGAAATGAAAACAAATGATTGCTATAGTCAAACATCTGGAAAAATGTGGCATTAGAATTAACTAAATGTTTGCAACTTAATTAAGAAATACATACAATTTATACACTTTGACCTAAGTTATGGTTCGTATGAAAGATAATGATACTGACGAAGGAATTGAAATGAGGACTGAATGAGACTCACTACTTGGAAGTCCATTGTTCCAGGAAATATGCGAGTTTCACCAGCTAGATACGATACATGGTGAGGTCATACAAGCGGTGATTTGCGAAGTCTACTCGAAGTACTAAGCGACCACCTCGAAATGTACATATGCTTTCCCATAATAGACACCTGACAAAACTCATATTTGCCAAACAGGAAATGTCCTGTAGCAGGAAGGTAACACGACTAGCATGTAGACATTTATTTATCAATTATCCGTGAAATGATGTCGAAAACACAGGTCCACATCTGAGTATATGTTTCAAGGTAGCTAGGAATACTACACAACGCACAGTGCACTTCTGATTTATGAAATTACTACTAGTGGAATCTGTCCGGCAGAACATGGGATCATGTAAAACACATACACTCCCGCACCAAATTCTAAGCGTAAAAGGTCCAGGGAACTGATATCAACATTGAAAGGTTACTAACAAGGCTCTTAAGCAAGTGATATGGGTACTAGGCGAAAATGCTCAACAGCCTGTTTACCATATGTACATAGTCTCCGACTCAGGTCCACAGGAGGGCATTACTGATGGTCTGAAGCAACTAACACAGTGTAACTGAAAGTTTATATACGATAATAACAACAAAATAAGCAGCTGAACCTCCACATACAGAAAAATAGGATATATGTCAGGCATATGGCCTCTAAAAGATCTGATACACAATAATTGCGAAAAAGATAAATTGGTCTTTCTCACTCATTAGAATTCTCATGGACTTCTTCCCAAATAATCTTTGAAAGACCGATGAGATTGTCAGACCCATGATGCGTACACGTAATGCCGTAACGCAAACCCTTTAAAATCCGTTCATTAAGTAATTCAAACAATGTGGTTCATTCTATAACTCTAGTTTTAAGTATTACTAATCTCATCCACTTTAATAAAGGTCCGAAAATTGTCCAGTATTTGAACTTGATTAGTAGCCTGTTATGTCGCACATTATCATGTGCTTCGCTGAAGTCTACTTAAATGGTTCAAATGGTTGAGGACGGAACAGGAGAAGCTTTCGCTTAACAGGCTTCCGTGTTTGGTATCAGTGGATGACCAATACCTCCAGGCAATAACCTAGGTATATGGACGATAATATAGGGAAAAAAAGAATTTGGTAAATCATAACAATATGTTATCCTCAGTCCTTAAGAATAAGTCAAGTTTCCTCTTAAAGGGCTCCTGGGAGGTCGCTTGGACTAGCTCAGTCGGCAGCGAATTCCAGCACTTGACAACTCTAACGGAGTAGAAGTTGTGTCTGCAGTCTGTTCTGCTATGTAGGGTTTCCAATTTCTGGGTGTTACCTCTGAAGTTAGTGTTATGACTAAGCTTAAGAAGTTGTTTAAGGGGATGACCAGAAGTATTAAGGATACTATAAATCATAAGAAGATCACCTCTAAGACGCCTGTACTGAAACAGGCAAAGGTTAAGTGATTTGAGGCGCCCTTCATAAGGTTTGAATTTGAGTCCCCGAACTGATTTCCTGGCTCGACGTTGCATACGTTCCAGAGTGTCCTTATCCTTTTGGAGAGAGTGAGGAAATACTATGTTTCCGTACACTAAATGGGGACGAATAAAACTGTTGAAGATTATATGGAAGGTTCTACCGTCAAACTGGCCAAAAATGCGCTTCAATGTTACCAGTGCAAGGTTTGCTTGACAGGCGTTTTTGTCACAGTTCGCATACGATTTCAGGTCGTAGGGTACCAACACTCCTAAATCTTTTTCAACTTGGGGAACTTCTAGAGGGGAGTTACCTAAGTTATAACTATAGTCTGCAACATGTCTCAGATGGACTACCTTGCACTTTGAAGTGTTGAAGTTAAGTCCATTGTCGTCTGCCCAACTTTGAAGTCGGATCAGATCCTCCTGAAGAACTAGTTTATCATTATGATTACGTATCTCTCTCCAAAGTTTCACATGATCAGCAAAAAGCAATAAGTCAGATGAAACTTGTTGAGGAAGATCGTTAATATAAATTAAAAAGATAAGAGGTCCTAGTATTGAACTCAAACTACATCCTCTAGTATTACACCCTTACTGGATTCTTTGAGGAGTGAGTGTTAACTAACCTTATCCTCTGTCTTTTACTATAAGAACCGCTTGAATCTTCCGTTCAATTTGGATATGGTGTCAAGGTGTCTTAACGATATCATCAACCTCAAGCGAGTGTAATGGTGAATAAATCCCCAAAATCAGTAGCTTTGTAAGTCTTCGACATCTGATGCTGGCCGCACTAGTTCTAATAGACTCACCTACCTGAAGGCGCTCGGTTATGCATCCACACCAGACCACCAGTGAGTACGCTTGGCTTCATTTCTGCAACCACTAGCCAGTGTGAGTGGTCACTGCTCGATATATCGATATTCCATCAAATATATCTTCCATCCTCTTCGCTTCTGACATCTGATTTCAATGAGTTGGCACGTTTCGATTATGAAATGTGTTATTGATTAAGGTGTTATCAAACCTTAGATACTCGTGGCATCTTGAGTGTTGAGCTCGACGTGATCTGGCGCACCTATTCGTAAACTGTGAGTGTGTCCCTTGTTGGAACTTGATATATCATTTCTTTAATTTAGTTTTGATACGCCGTGATATTTTTTCCGTATTTCCTGATTATTACCTCGTTCATTGCCATACTTTACATTCATCATGATCTAACAGACTCCCAAATTATTTGAGATCAAAACTTTTACGCCATCCTCGTTTCAGCTGATGCCATTCAAACCTGAAAACATCAAAGCTTGGTTCCGTTACGCAGTAGCTTACTTCCATGAACACAGCGTGACCGCTACACGTGCACAATTCCTCACAACAGTGAAGACACTACCGCACGATTTGAATAGATATTTCACACCCAGTATGTTTACTAGTGATGTTTTCCAAGCTTATGAAACTCTAAAACGGTCTGTTCTGAAACGATAAAATAAGGTTAAATCAACTGCTCAATAACACCAATTTTCAGCAATGGACATGTCATTACGAATGAGAAAAGTAATTGGTCAAAGGACTTTCTAGGATGCCCTGTTTAGACAACTTTTCTTGTTCAAGCGTCCTCAACAGGTGCAGACAGTGCTTGTCTCATTTCAAAGCAACACTGTGGTGGAGCTGGCCGCATCGTCATACCGAATACTGAAAATCGCCAGACCTTCGAACGCCGAGGTTTTTTAGTCACAGAAAAGCCTCGAAAAACATGAAATGATGTTAAGGAACTGTGTCATACTCTGATACGTTGCCTTAGTATTCGTCATCATCGTAGATGATCCCAAACTCATCGAAGGAGTACTTCACGAAAACCATCTGTCTCTAGATCATGGAAGACAGGTAATCTCGTTTGGTGCTGATGTTATAACCAGTACGGGAAATCTACTCAAAACTGCAGGAAACCCAGATCCCAACCGACTGACAAGAAAAACGTTTCTGGAAACTATCTAACCGGCACGCACCAACAGCAGCCGGCTCCAGCGAACGTATCCGTCTGTTATACGTCACTGACGTGATTACAGATGTTTGCAACTTCGTCCACGCTAACGAAGAAGTTAGAGTCTTTCCAGAAAATTCTGACGACAGACTGGATGAAGCAGTTTTTAACTAGCAGGCAACGAATGGGAAACCTATCACGATATGTTTATATTAATGTAGTTTTACGCAGACCCATTCACCGGATCTTTGTTATTGAAGATGCTTTTATGTCGATCATTAGTATAGACCTGCTGCAACATTATAATTTACTCATCGATAAGCGCAATTGGAGGCTAATAGACGGAAATGCTAATTTATCTGTTTGTGTAACTTCTTTTTTTGATTATAAATTATGCCAAGTTAAAGTAGAGCACACGATCGATCCATACTTCCAACGAATACTCGATAAATACCCTGAGATATATTAAGTGCAACCGAAATTGCTATTTGTAACGAGCAATGTTACACATCACATCACGATTACTGGACCGCCTGTATTCTCGAAAGTGCGCCGACTAGCTCCCGGAAAGCTTAGGTTAGACAAGAATGAATTTGATCATACCATGGACTTAGGAATCGTTCGGCCGACAAACATCCCATGGGCGTCCTCCTTGCTCATGTACCCTAAGAAGGACAGCAATGACTGGCATCCGACTTGTAACGATCGACGACTGAATGCAAAAATCATTCAGGGTCATCCTTCTTATTCTTCACAAACATCTCATGGGTATATAAGTGTTGTGAACAAACCATTTCGGGTTTTTTCAAAAATGCAATAATATACAAGTTTCAATAATGTTAGCATTACATTTGCCATATTTGAGAAGGGAAAGAAAAGAAAAATAAAATATTAATAATAAAGTAGTAATAATAAATCAGGTTCTGCGTAATTGACAAGAATTTTGGATTGATTTTAAAGAAGAAAATGCAGAAACTCAGGAAATATAGATAAAGGAGACGTGAAATACGCAAATAGTTTAATAAACATGTTTATGAACACAGAATAAGAATAAAAAACTATGTATGTATCGCCAAATGAGTAATAAAAATAAAATAAAACAAAATAAAATAAATTCATGAATAAATAACTTCTTTTTGCGGCAAGATATGATGTTAGAATAAGTGTTTGTGCAGTCATAGTTTTGAGTGATGCTATGAAAGTCTCAATTCAGTGCAAAGGATAATCAATATGTATGGGTCGTATTTGCATAATGAAGATAGAACGAGTCTGAGAAGTTGATTTGAGCTGCCTCACATTCACGATTTGGCAGCTATCTCTAAAGGCACAACTGTCTTTTCGGAAATTGACATGGTTAAAGCATATAAACAATTTTACATGGCTGCTAACGAAATTCCCGAAACCTCTATTTTCACACCCTTCGGTTTGCACGACATTTTGAGCATGCCTCTGGCTTAAGAACTAGTGCAGATTTTAAGGGATTCATCAACAATTTCTTTCAAGGTTTCAACTTCGTACATGCCCATGTTGACGACTGCTTGATTGCAAGTCCAGACAAAGGATCCCATCGCCAGCATATGGACCTTGTCTTCGAACGACTACAAAAACCACATCATTACTGTAGGCATTCAGAAACGTCAAGTGGGTACCGACTTCCTTGATTTTATCAGACACAGGTTTGATGCTCAAGACATCCGACCTCCAAAATGTCAAGTGACGACCGTTTTGGACTACAAAGTACCAACCACAATCAAGCAATTATGCACGTTTAAAGGACTATTAGGTTTTGATGTAGGTTCGTTCTCTGAGCTGCATGGTTTGGTCGTGGAGCCTTCATCGTCCTTCTGAACGATTAGTAGGTTTCTGTTGACGGTTCGTAAGAAACTGTGTGTCCCTTTTGAAGCCTCTAACCGACCAACCTAGCGGAGACGCGAAATCCATTAATATGAACGATTGAGTAAAAAAGGAATTCTCTTCAGTTAAGGAACTTACCGGCAAAGTAACATTGTTCGCATATCAGGACACCGAAGCAACTGTTATTATTGCAGTATACGCATTTGACTCGGCAACCAGAGGGATCTTACAACATTTAGTAATCAACACCTGCAAGCTTTTGGTATTCATCTTGAAACTGTTGCACGATATTGAATGGAGGCATAGCACATATGGTAGAGAACTCTTGGTCATGCGTTGTGCTGTACGACACTTTTGGCATTCTGTAGCAGGCCAAAAATTCACTATGTTCACCACAAACCTCTCAACTTCTCTCCTAGCTCGTATTCTGGCAAATACTCCTCTCGAGAGCCTCAACAAACTGGACTACATATTGCAGTTTACTTCAGATATACGGC